AGGAGCTTATCGAATTTTTACAAAGCCTCTGCGCTGTAGCAATGGCACACAATTGGAGAAGCACGTAAATCAATCCAGCGTATTTCATTTCGAGCAACTTGAGTTATTGAAGGTCGTCCGAGTACTTAGTCGACTAAGTAGACCAAGTTTATAGAAGCGAAATTAGAACTCGTAGCGTATGCTAAAAAGCGAAGCTAAAACGAATTTGAATGGTTGCAAAGCCTGGAGAATATCAACTAATATGATAGACCCATAATAACATGATATCACCAAAGCTAAGGCCTCTCAATGCCTGATTGCATTTTTTCTCACAGAGTTGTATATATTATAAATGCTTAAACCAAGCACATTTCCTCGCACTTTTTTCGAGACTTAAAACGATTATCATTGCCTTTGCATCCGCCATAAATGAATCTCCTGCACTCATTCACTAAATTATAATAGCTCCATCTGGATATGAATGTAAAGCACGATGGATCTCCCACAATTGCATAGCCCGGATCAGCTGGCCGCTGTGCACAAATAGCTAAAGATTTAACAAACTCTAGATTATGTAAGCAATAGAGATGTTCGTCTTATTCTTACGATTCTTTACGGTCAGCGCGATGCCAAGCACTGACAAGAGTAGATAAATCAATACGGCGTACTTCATTTTGAACAGGTGCTAAAACATGTTGCTTGCTGAGACTCTAAATAAATAATGCTAAAATTCTACGCCCTAATGGGAGCAAAATGAAATCTAAATTGTAAAGCGAAACTAAAACTAATTACGAATGTGTTGAGCTAACTCGAGAGGCATTCGATGGTAAATAACAGAGATTTAAGTGAGTCTTACTATGAATAAGAATAAATGAATATAATATATACTTAATATGCAACAATTAACTCAATTTAAAATCAACTTAAAAATAGCAATAAAGCTGTTCAATTATTCTCTTTATATCTTTAGCAAAGTCAAAATCATTTCAATGCCAGCTGCGTTTCAGCTGAACTTAAGTATTGCTTCTGCTAATTGTTTATGCAAATTGACAATAAAGACAACAACAGGTGTTAATTGTTTTTGTCACCTCACCATGTGTTAGCTGAAAATATTACTGAGAAGTGTAAAGCCCTAAACCAAATGGAAAACATTTATATTTTTCACTTGAAACTTTTTATAAGTTAGCAACAAGATGAGCTTAAAATTTATAAAAATTTTTTTTATATTATAATTTTTTTATTTTTAAAAGCTTAAAAAATGTGCATAGCTTTTCTTTTATCTGTTGCTATAATACATATAGAGAATAATATACAGTTAGTCAGATAAATATTAATAATAGTGATGCCAATAGGAATTTAGAATCCTTGGACCTATATCGAATGTCTTCAAATCATTTCTTCCCTTTGACATAATCAATTGCCATTGACTGACTTTTCGTCCTGCTGAGCTGACATCAGCAGTGAAGTTGACTCGAGTTCCATACGAATGATTGGAAAGTGAATATGTGTGCTAGTTTTGTATTTGTTGTTGTTTTCCGATTTGCATAAAATATACAAGAATATTGAGATATAGAAATAGTTGAGTGCATGTCTAATGCGATGATAAATGCTTGCGATGAAACGCTCGACTTGAGCTGAGAAGCACTGTAAAAGAGCATGATGAAAAAGATGGAAGATAGAAGATGGGAGCTGAAAGATGGAATATGGAAACACATAGACACACACACACACAGGATATCCGGCTGACGGCATTTGAATAACAATAACGATATCAAAATGATATCAAAGTGCTGAGTGCATGAGCAGTGAGCCAAAGGCGATTGCCATTAGCATATCTGGTAAAGAAGTTGGAATTGATTTGGTCAACCGTTACAGCAACAACAACGGCAACAACAACAACAGCGGCAGCAAACAGCGAGYAATGATTCAGCTAAAACAGCAGCCTGAGCAGCAGGAGTAGTAGCAGTCGACCTTCTGCCCAGTGGGTCGTCTTCGCCCCTCACCCACTCGACTGACGCTGCGCTATTATATGCCGATCCGCATCCTGATTCCAAGTATTTTCTTGTTTTTTTTTTTTTCCTACTCTCTTCTATTTTGGTTTTTTATTGTGGTGTGTCGCTTTATTGTTGTTGTTGTCTGGGCGCGTTGACATGTGAGCTGAAGCAGCGCCCGGCCGTATGGGCCGCCCGTGGCCTCTTTGCCGGCTGATGAGACCGCCCACCGCTAACCGACGCCGCTCATCCACTCACACTCCCCGTCGCACTCAGCCGCCTTTTGTGGGCCGTCGGGTGTGGCATATGGTTACATTGCCATCAACAACTCAACAAAGACGACAAACACGCGAAACACCCTCATTTACGCCCAATTACATCTCAAGTTGGCTTTTTATGCGCGAAAACATTTGAAGTCGCCAATATGCATTCATCATATTTGAATTTATATTTTGAGCAATAAATTATGCTTGAATAAATAAAGAGCTGGCGACAAGATTCATAAAAGATCAGTCTGATTTTTTAGCGTAGACTAAAGAGAAATATGATTATCAATTACAGCTATTAAGAGGTTAATAAGTTTCTGTTCAAAGAAACTCAATATAAGAAATAAAAGTCTAATAAAAGACTTAAGAAACTGTAAGACCTTGAAAGTAAAATGTCCAGATGTGATTCAAGTTTTATAATATAATTTTATAATTTTCTTTATGTATCTCTTATAAGGCTTTTCAAGCATATACTATTTTCCAAGGTATAAATAATTTATAATATAATTTCAATTTACTCGAAAAAAGTTCGATCTCTTTCAGAAAAATTTGTTCCCAAGAATTCTCGATAAATTAAATTTCTGTCTAAAAAAAAAAAAAAAAAAAAAAAAAAAAAAAAAAAACTGATCCTATTGACATTTTGAATAATATATGGGGACTCGACTCTACTTTCCACTAGAAAGACACTGACTAGAAAGACATTCGATGTATTAAATCAGTTGTGAAAAAAGACCTAACAATATATAAATTTAACAAAAAATATATGCATATGATAGATAGAATAATTTGGTTGATATTATATCCATAAAAACAAAATAATATTAAAATGAAATGCAAATACGAATTTCTATATTCGAACCTATAAACAAATCTAGAAAATACTAAACTTCTTCTCTAGGTAATGCTACGATACATCTCCAGGCTAATGAGCATTGCCAAATTAATGGACCATTTAAGTTATCTATTAGTTCAATAAGAACTTGAAAGCTATAGACAATAATGTTGTTGCAGCTTCATTCAGGCGCTATGCCCTTGGTGATTAGACGCTGAACAGCACGTGTTGGTCATATCAGTGCATCAGCATCATTAGATCTCTACTTTTTCTCTTTTTGGAGGTCTGGCTGAGAGATGCAGAGAGGCACTCTTAATGTTTCCGCTGGCGCACACGACATCCGCTGACCGGAAGTGCGCCAATGGAATTTAAACGTTTTCATCCAAAACATTAACTGAATCGTCTTCCGCTGCGCACGCCTGCTCAATAGCCCGTGCCAGGTCCGGGGCACCGCAGGAGTCGAAAGGCGAGCCTTATGCCCATACCCAAACAGTCAGCCAGCCCAACCTTCTCTAATATCATTACTGCTCTCATTGTGGTCGTTGTCTGGCTATAATAATACCAACTCCCACAATTCTGCTCTAGCTCTTCCTGCTTTCCTTTCTCCGGCTCGTAATCAATTGCTAATTTAGTCATCGTCGCCAAAAGGAGATGAAAAAAAAAAAACACACACACACACACAAATTCTTTAGGGATGATTCCACTTCCAGCTGCTGCCTTGGATTTGTAAATATTTGCTTGGAAAATTGCTCTCAGGGGGTGGCGTTCTGTTTGCTTTTCCCTGTTCTCTTTATTCGTTTTCCCTTCTCTCGTTTTTTTTTTTTTTTTTTTTTTATTCTGGCAGTTGTTGTTCTTCTGCTCTTTGGCATTGTTATTGTCAAATTGACGACAAAATGCGACACTTGCCATAAATTTATTGTTTGTTGTTGCTTAATGCCATTGTAAGTGGAGGCTTAATGACACGCAAGCAATTAGCAGATCGTTGAGTTTTAATCGCGTTGCTTTACAGGGGTTGCTAACCAGCGGCTTGACATGAGTAGCTCAATTTGCCTGTGTGTGTGTGTGGCTATGGATGACCCAAGGCAATAGCTAGAGCTAGTTACAGAAGCTGCAACCTATTTGGAATGCTAATTAAATGTAACAGAAATGAAAATCAAAGAAGATCCAAATATTTAGCTTGGAAAATTTTAATCTAATAACTTTGGATCAAAAAAAAAAAAAAAATTTAAATAAATAACAAACAAAAAAATGAAAAAAAAAATAAATAAATATATAAATAATATATGTTTAATTATAA